ATTAAAATTAATTTAATCTAGAAAGTAATACTAAACATTCAAGAGTAAAAATAAAAATTAATTTTTAAATTTTTATAAAATTAAAGGTGATAACTAAAATGACGTTTTCAAGAGCAGAAGAAGAATTTAATGCCGAATAATTATTTTGAAAATAATTTATTTTTTTATAAATTTTAAAAAAAAAACTAATATTTTTATATCTAATTTTTTTTTAATTTAAATGCATTTTAATTTAATATTAATTTTTAATTAATAAATATTCATTTTCAATTATTTATTAATTTAATACATAATAGAAAATTAATATGTGTATTTTTTACAGAAATAAAATCAAAAATATCTTTAATATATATATTTAAATACAATCAATATCGAATATTAAAATGAAGGTTAAAATTATTAGTCAATTTTTTATTTTATATTATAAGGATAATCATAATAATAAATTAATAATATATTTATTTATTTTTATACATTTTAAAAAGTATATACTTTCATGTTCTTAAATTTTTTAATTTATACGGTTATTTTTTAAAAAACTCTATTTTAATGAAGGCGCAATAATACTTTTAAATTTTCTCAAAATTGCGATCGTATGTATATATTAAGAAAATTTCTCCATTTTAAAGAAAGAGAAACTAAAAGTTATAGATAAAGAACTAAAATATAAATTCCTATATAGTTAATCACAGGAGATTAAAACTCAGTACATTTAAAAGCTAATTTTATATAAAGTAGACGAATATAACGATTTAAATGGACAAATAAAGTTTTTACTCTTAATAGTCACCTCTTTTACTTTGCAAAAATCTTTCTAATATCCATTAAAGTATTTGATATTTATATATTATTAAATGTATAATGTTTTTTGTAAAAATAAACATATATAAAAAAAAATTAAATATTATTTTTTTATTAGAATATTTTAATATTTTTAAAAAAGTATTAATAATTATTTTATATGCTATATTTTAAATAAAACTCTCATTATTTTTATATGTTATTAATTAGTTAGTTATACATTTATTAACATTAAATCGGTGTTTTATCTGGTAAATGCTTACATATTGAAATCCAATCTTTGTTTCCATATACTTCTATTAGTTTCAACAAGATTTATTTTTCTTATTCTTTCCATTTTTTTTATTTATTATTCTTAAATATTATATTATTAATTTGAATATTTTGAAACATCTTTTTTTAATTTTAAATTTAAATTGTATTTTTGTTTTTTTATTATTAAGCAATTTATTAATTTTTTTAGTTTTATTGATATATATTTGGAATATTTTTTAATTAATTATATTATATATTCTAAATCATTTGTTTTTCACAATTTTTCATTCTGTCTTAAAAATTATTAATATTTATTTTTTTCTCATCCACTCTATCTATTATTTTTAGTTATTTTTTTTATCTCCATAAATTTTGTATTTTTAAAGTTGCAGCTTCATATTATTAAAATTAGTTTTCTTTTATTAAAGGACCATTTAATTTAATAACATCTTTTTCAAATCTAATTTGTTTTGAATTCTCGATTTCATTTTCTTTCTATTTTTTCTTTTATTTAATTAACTTACTCATTTTTTATTAAATTGCCAAAACAGCTTATTATATCTAATCTAAATTTGAGTAGCTAAATTATGAATCATCTTTAAACATATTTTTTTAATTATAAATTAATAAGAAAATTAAATAGATATAAAATTTAAAAATTATAAATTAATAATTATTAATTAACATATAAATATATAATAATATTTTAAAATATTATATTTTTTATTTTCATATATTTATTTTATTATTATATTAATAATATTTAATTACTTTTATAATAATTTTTTATATATTTTTTATTTTTATTTATAAATTAACATGTTAGCAATGATTAAATAAAACTTTTGAAAATATATTATAAACTTTATACATTATTTTTACATTAATATTTTGTTTTTACCAATATTTTGTTTTTATATAATAAAAAGAAAATTTTAAAACATTAATTAATTTTTAAAAATGATAAAATTTTATCTTTAAATAATAAATATAATAAATAATTCCAATTAATATTTTTCAATTTTTGTTGTTGTTTTTAAATAAAAAATAAGTTAATAAAACATACATTTTATTTGCTTTTTTTTATCATAATTTATAATAAACATCTTTAATTTTACTTTCTTTTCTTCCTGTTTTTTAAGAATGTGAATATCTATACATAAAAGATGTAAATATAATTGCTGTTAAAGCACTTATCAAAATTCCATCACCTTTATAATTAAAGCCCCATGGTTAATAATCCTCAGGATATTTAAATACTTCATTGTATGCATATGGTGATTAATCTCCTTATTTAAATCCAGATCTTTGAGCAATTTCATTTTTATCATAATCTATTGGAAGGTCTGTAGTTGTAATATTTTTCGCATGATATTATCTTCTATATAATTAATTTACATAATTTAATTTGATAGAATTTTTTAAATAATTCATATTTTTCTTTTTTATTTGTATTTTTTTTTATTTAAGTTAATTTATATTAATAAATATTTTTCCCCTTTTTTCTTTACTTAGTACTTTTTTTATTTTTAATACCAAATTTATATGAAAATCAATTTATGCAAAACTATTTGCTATAAATAAAAATGATTATAAATTTTAAATATAAATTAGAATAATTTATATATTTTTATATCTAAAAGATGTTTAATTAATTTTTAAAAAAGTACATATCTTACTTTTAAAAAATAATTCTATTTATTGAAGTTAATATAATTAGAAACTTTATAAATTATTATTATTATTATTGTTGAATATTTTAAAATTTTATATATAATATAGTTTTATACACACAAAAATAAAATATTAATATTTAATTATACTGATTAATAAACTTTTTTATATAAATATTAATGATTTTGCTAAAAATTAATTAATATTTTATATATTACTCATTTTTATTAAGTAGAAAAATAACTATTAATTTCTAATTAAAACTTTTATTCTTATTAATCTTTAAAGCTAGAGTTTGTAATTTAAAGTTTTTTTAAAACTTTATTTATTTTCATACATCTATTATCATAATTTATATCTGGCAAAGGTTCACTGACATAATTTTATTAATCTATTTACAATATAACTTTTCGGTTATTATTTCTTTCTGGTTATGGTAAGTATACTTATTCTGTTTTTTATTAAACTTTATTTTATTATTATTATTTATCTGAGCTTAACTTAAATTTTTATCGAAATAATTAATTTGTTTCTTAATTATAATCAAAAGAATAGTTGATTGGTAATCCAAATTAAACTAAATTATGTTTATTATTATTTTATATTTCATCTTTTATTAAAGGAAGATAGTTTATTTATTTTTCTTAAGCTTATGATTCTAATTTTTTATTTATACCACTTTATATATATATAAATTTTAGGCAAGAAATTTAATTTTCCATTAAACTTTTTTAAATTATATATTTGTTTTATTAATATCTGAATTATTTATTTAATTTAAATGTTTTTTTTAAGCATTTTTAGAAATATAAAATTAATAATATTTATAGCTTTTATATTTTTATTAATTATATTTATATTAGCAAAATAATTTATTTTTATTTATAGAGATTAAAATTTTTATATTTAAAAAATATTATTTATAGTTAATTATTAATTGTTTTTCTTAAGTTTATTTGATTTTAAATTAAAAACAATTTGATATTTTGAAATAATAAAGAAAAACAATATCGTTTTATAAATTATTAAAGATAATTTTTGGGTTCATATAAAAAAACGATAAATAAAATAAATAGGTAAAAACATTTTATTTATAAAAAAAAGGAAATAAAAAAGTTAATTTTTTTTTAGAAGCTCTGAAATAAACTATAATTTACTAAGTAATTATATATATAAAAAATAATATATTAAAGTTTAATTTATATTAAAAATGAAATTTTATTTCATAAATATTTTTTAATACATTGTAAATTTATTAAAACATAAATATATATAAAATAAATAAAGTTAATCAAACAAATTAAATGGATATTCTTCATGACAAAATTTCATTTGATGAAATATTATCAAAAAGGTTGGGTTTTGGTCCATATTAAATGATAGTAAAAAATATATTAATAAAATATGTTAATTAAGTAAAGGTTTATTCAATTGTGTCTTTTATAGATTTTATTGATGGCTCCGAGAACTTTTTTATGATAATATTAGTTTAAATTTTAAAAAAAGAATGGTCATTAAATTAGTCGCAAATAGAATTATTAGGCAGTTTATTTTATTTCGGATTATTTTTAGGTGCGATAGTTGCAGGTATTCTCTGCGATTTATTAGGCCGAAAAAAAACAATGATAGCAGGTTCTTTTGTATAATTATTAACTGTAATTTGGACTTCATTTGCTTAAGATTATATATAAATGATTCTAATTAGATTTCTATATGGATTTGTAATAGGTTTGACAATACCAATTGGTATATTAATATGTACAGAAATAAGTCCAGTTCATTTAAGAGGAAGGGCTTTAATAATTATATAAAGTGCATAATTATTAGGTAAATTTTATTTAATTTTGTTATGTACTTTTTTCCTTGTAAGCCTTGAAGAAGGAAATTGGAGGGCAATGGCTATTTGTTAAGCAATTCCTACATTTGTAATGGCAATTTTATGTTTTTTATTTTTAGATGAAAGTCCACGCTTTTTACTTTCGCAAGGAAAAATTGATGATGCAATTTCAATTATGTCTAATATTGGAATAAAAAATCATTAGAAAGGAAATTTTATTGAAATTACAGATGAAGAAAAAAGAAAATTGTAAAATTGGTAATTATATACCTTTGAAGATTAGAATAAAATTTCTAAATTTTAAGTTTTTAAAGGAATTTTTTAAAATTAAAATTTACCAATTACATGGAGACTTATAATTGCTTCTATTAACACTTAGTTTATCTCTTCTGGATTTTCTTTTATTTTACCTTTTCTTTTTCACAGTTAAGGAATGGGTATATTTGACTTTTTTTTGGCTACTTTGAGTGAAATTCCTGCTTCTATTATTGCTTATTTACTTGTCGATACCCAAAAAGTTGGAAGAATAAGAATTATTTTTGCGTCATTGATTTTCTGTATGATATTTTAGTTACTTATTTATTTTTTATAAGATAAATTTTTATTATTCGGACTTGGAGCTATTCTTTTCTTTTCAAAATTCGCAGGATTAGTTGCATAGCCAGTTACCTCAGAAAGTTATGATACTAACTTTAGATCTATGGGTTTGGGTATATGTGCTGCTAGTGGAAGGGCTGCAGGTGCTTTAGCTCCTTTTGTATTATATAAAATATTCTTGTATGATAAATGGGTTATTTTTTTGGCTTTTTCTATAATTTTATTTATTACTATATCTGTTTTTATTACTTTTCCTGTAGATAAAACTTAGAAGTAGTTAGATGTTAGAAAAGAATAGGAAGAAGAAGAAAAATATTTTATTATTTAAAATAATTAAAGCGATTTATAATAAAATAACGATTTATAATAAAATGAGAAGAAAATAAATTGAAAATACATTTTTTGTTTCACTTATTTTAATAGATATTTATATATATAATATTTAGTTTTTTTCATTAATCTTCTTAATTTTATTATTATTATAAAAGATCTGTCCATAATTAGATATTATCTCTTAACAACTACATAATAAGCGTTGAGTCTTTATAATTTTCTTCATTAACATTATCAATATTTTAGATTGCTTCCTCAAAAGCATTATTAGCAATTCTAATAGCATCATGAATTTTATCCAAAACTTCGAAAAAATAAACACTCATATTTAAAATGAGAGCTAATCTAATAGGATCAGTTGAGGCTAAATTCATTCTTGCAATTTCATTTGCTTCTCTATAAGAGTTTAGAGCTTCTTCTTCAACTTCTTCTTTTGGCCTACATTCATATTCAATTATTTCAGATTATTCTTCTTCATATTCTGAATTATTATTATTATTATTTAAATCACCGGAATTATTGTTATCTTATTATTATAAAGCTCTCGATTTTAAACATTCTGCATAATAACGAAAATGATCGCCTCTTATTTTTAAATAAAAGACTTTCGATTCTAAACATTTAACATTTGGAAGTAAAATTTAATCTATAATTGCTATCAAATCTTCACAGTTTTAAAATATTTCCCTTTCAACTTTTTACTTATATTTTATTATATATTGCAGATTAGTACTCTGTTAATCTTGTCTTTTCTCTTTTTCAAATATTGCATCTAATACACGTATTTCAGCACGTTTTGATCCTACTATGCTTTTATAAGATGTACTCAAAAGATTTCTTTCATCTTTTGTTAATTCAATTTAAGGTTATTATATTATACGTTTCATGTATTCTAACATTTCAGGAAATCTTTCAGTTTATTATGATAAACGGGCTAAAAATAATAAGTTGTCTCGTTTCATATCAGGTTTTAATTCATGCATTATTGTTGACTTCATTTATTTTTATTTTATAATATTCTTTTTATTAAATAAGGATTTATAATATTTAATAAAATATTATTATTTTTTAAATTTTTTATTTTTTTAAAACTATAACTATTAATTGATTTATTAATCTTAATTTTTAGTATTAGATTCATAAATTTTTAAAAAATATTTATTGAAAATTAAACTTTTAATTAAACTACTTTCTATAAGTTTTAAACAAAAAAAATGTAATTAAAATCATATTATAATTCAATTAATTGAATTATTTATTTAGAAAAATAGTAAATATATTTCAAAAAATAATATAAATTTATTAATTGTATCTATTTATATATGAAAATTTAATAAACCATTAAAAATTAAAAACAAATCTTAAGTTTAAAATTTTATAAAACATTTTTATTATATTGTATTAGTATAAATATAAAATAATAAATTTTAAATAAAAAAATAATTGAATAATATTTATTTTAATTTGCATTTTAAAAGATATATTTTTATTTTTTTTCTATAATAAACAAAAAAGCAAAATAAAAAAATGCAAAAATTTACTATAAATTACATTTTTAATAAAGGTTTTTAAAGATAAACAAATTTAAGATTATTAAGATTATCTTCAGTAATAACATATAATTAAAAAAGTGATTAAGAAAGATAAAATTTCGAAAAAAATAGTGGAAAATTTATAAATGTTAGAATAAAATATAATAAATTTATAATATATAAAAAATATTTATGTAAATAGCAATTAGCAGAAATATTAACATAAAGTCCTAGTATTAAAATAAATAACGTTGAAGTAAGCGAAGGAAATATATAACTACAATTAAAAAACGATTAAATATTTATTATAAATAAATTACTTACAAAAAACTTATTATTTTATTCATCTCCTATTAGGTATTTTCTTATTTATAATTTAAAGCTATTTTTAATTTATTTTTATTTAAACAAATAGTGGAGTATAAAAATTTTCATTTAATTAAAATGATTAGTAATGGATAAACTAATAAAATTAAGAACTTTCTTAACTTTTATTAAAAGAAATAGATTAAATATGAGTATTATAATTTATTAATACAGATAAAAAATATAAAATAAAATATATTTAGAAAAATATGTTAAAATATTAAATAGTTTTATTTTACTCAACTTTTCTTTCTTTATATATATATATAATATTATTAAAAATATCAATTTTTTTTTTTTTGAGAACCAGATTTATAAAATAGTATTCATACAAAAATAATATATATATCTTAATTTCAATAATAAATATTTGTTTATATTAATAAAAAATATACTTAATAAATTTTTTATCAATTCATTATTATTTTTTTATTTTTTTAATAAATAAAGATTTAACTTTATCAAACAAATATTTATTTATCTATATAAAAATAAATTATTTTAATAGATATACAAGATACTTATTTTGCTATATTTTAATTTATTAATAAAATCTGAAATAATATCTAAAAAATTGTTTTAAAATCCTTTGATTTTAATTTTCAAGTAATTTTCTTAATATCAGCATCTTTTAAATAAGTCTTTTTAAAATTCATATTTTTTAATCAAAAAATTTTCTTAAATATTAAGTGTAACATCATCTTCTTATAAATAAATAGATATTTCCAAATTTTATGTTAAATCTTTAAAAATTATTTAATTTCATTAAAAATATTATTGTAATTAATTAAATACTAAAATTAATTATTTAAAAATCTTATTATTCTTAAACTTTATAAAATATTTAATTAAAGTCTTCAGCTTAATATAATGAAACAAATTTTCTTGTTTTTAATTTAAAATTCTATATTTTAAAATGTTAGTTGCTTTTGAAAAAAAACTATATTATAATTTAACTTATATAAAGTATTTAGTTATTATGTTTAATTAATAACAAAAAATTTAGATTACTATATTTTTAAATACTTAAATAAAAATTTGATTTATTATATTTTTTCTGAATTTTATACTATTTATTTATTAATTCTTATAAAATATTTTTATTATTCGAAACCTATTTCTTATTTTTTACTATAATTATTCGATATTAGATTAGACTCTATTAAAAAATATTATTAGATAGTTTGATATTTATCAAGTTTCTAAGTTAACTATTTTAATAAGTAATATTAATTATCAATTTGTTTGTTTTCATCAAAATGTGTTTCGAATATTTACAATATTATATATTAACTTTAATTTTATATTTATTAGAATTTACATTAATTTAATATATAATTTTTTTATTTCAAAATATTTTAGATTTAAGAATCATTTATTCAAATACTTTAATCACTAAAAAAAGTAGTTTTATATTAAATATTTAAATAAATGATAATAAATATAAATATTTTAAATTTTTTATAAATATAAGACGAATTCATTTAAATATTTTTCATAAATTATTATTTTTTTAATAAAGTGCATTAAATATTTTAAATTAGTATTTAGTTTTTTATATTAATATAATTTAATTTTTTTAAAATATCTTAATTAATTATTTAAATTATCCTTAATAAATAAATAAAAATAATAAATATATAA